CCCCAAAACCCCAAAACCCCAAAACCCCGTGAGGCAGAAAATGGATATTAGATTGAATTAATTTTGTAGTCAAACCAAATAAAACTAGAATAAAATAGAGTAAGTTATCTTAGGTTAAAATTATTAATGGCAGCAGTAATCAATAATCAGCCTTCTAAATCTTATGACTTCAGCAGCATCTTTATGAATCAGCAGGACATCAAATCGTCCTTTAGAAATCTCTAACTGCAGCAAGACAGATTCGAGAAGAACCTGCATAAATCTCACGACAAGTACTTCAAGACGCTTATTAAGGAGAAGTGATAGCACATCCTGAGAGATATGAATTCATTTCTCGGACCGAAGTAAAATAGAAAAAAGAAAGATGATAATATGATAACAAGTGAGAACTTTAATGGCTTTAGCAATAACTACAGTGGTGCTGACAACAAGAACATTTTGACTAACTCAAAGATCGCCAAGAATCACTCGATTGAGTACATGAATTAAAAGGATAACAACTTTGAGGGAAATGTGCTCATTGAAAACCAGCTGACATTTATAGAAGTTGATGACTTCAAGAAGCATAAACTATAGCAGCAGTTGCAATTTCAGCTACAGTTGCATTAATTCATGAAACGAAAACTTCCAGGGAATCTAAATGAAAAGAATAATGATACAAGCAGTCCATTCAAAGGAAGAGCTTCAATAGTGCATCATAGTGGAGGTCTAAACATCGCTAATGCGTTTTCAGGAATGGACGAAGTAACATATATGATGAAGTTTAAAGAATAGATACTTGAGCCTGAAGAAAGAGCACTATTCATCAGAGAAGACTACAACTCAGAGGAATTACATATTGCGAGAGATTTGCTATGCGATTAGAAAAATGATTTGAGGAGCGTTAAAATTCACGAGTTTAGAAGGTATATGCGCAATGATTAGATCCTTGAGCATACTGCCAGATACCTTTATGATTCTATTCTGTTTAAAGAGCAATCAGATTTCAGTTTGAATAACAGTATTCTTTCAAGAAATCAGCATTTTCAAACCAACATGAATGAGATAAAGGATCTACTGAAAACTATGGATAAGTACCTCTTTGTAATGTTTCGCAATCAAGAGATCACACTTGATTAATTGAAGGCTAGACTTGCTGAGAAAAATCTTGGGGTTAAGTATACAGTGTTAGATGACTTGAGGGATACTCTTTAGCCTGAGATATTGGAAGGAGTCTCTGACGAAGTTTTTCATAAGCTTTATAAAACAGAAAAGGACTTGGATGGGAAAATTATTGTCCCTCTAAAGGAGATGCAAAAAGACTTGCAGCCATGGTAAACAGATAATCATTGTCTAAGATCGCTGTTTTATGAGAAAAAGAAGGACTTCGTGCCTGTTAACTTTAGTTTAGCCTCATAATCTCCATTGAAAAAGCACAGTATTTTAGAAGCTAAAAAGAGAAATGAGGATAGTAGGGTTCAAAGAAGAAATGATTAAAGCCGAATAAGAGACAATAAAAGTTAAAATGACAATACATCTAAGACTAGGATGCAAACAAATTAAGTAGTCATAAAATCGAGAAATAAAAATGAGGACTTTAAGAAAAACAATACTACTAATAATGTTCTTATGAACTAAACTCAAGGGAGCACATAAAGTCATAGTAGTGCTTAAAAAGGTGTTACTATAAGAAGTCCTGCTAAGTTTCAAGGAAGAGACTATAAGTAATTTCTCAGTCAAATGACAAAAAAGATTAAGATAGAACTAAAGAAAGAAGTTAGTGATAGGGATAATAGATAAAAGAGAGAAATTCTGAAAGAGTATTAAAGCACTACTCTGGAAAATTACTAGCCAAACCTTATTGATTAAGTTCTCAATTAGCATTCTTAATCTATCTCACCCTCAAAACTCAAAAACTTCAACTCTGACATAAATCAAAGCAATAAGAAGTCTTATGCCATCAAATCCATAAGAGACAAACTTAACCAGGAAGGCTAGAGAGTTTAAGGTATGCTATTCTTAAAATAACTAGAGCTTGAAGGAAAGGGCCAAGTTGTGTGGGAGAAGTCTACACTTAAAATTATGAGATAAATTGAGGAGGAAAAGCATAAGATGGAGCATACCGACTATGAAAAAGCTCTCAAACCTCGAAAGCCAAGACCAAAGGAACTAATCAGAAGTTCTCCATAAAAATAGAATAAAACATATGCAGTTGTAAAACGTACCACAGACTCTTAAGGAAATAGGGAATCATCAAGAGAATCTCAAGCTAACATATCAAGCTAGGACATCTCTGTTTCACCTATTAAATAACTAGGGGGAAAGTCTCATTCTCTAATAAAAATTGAAGAAGAGTCAATCTCATAAGGTGAACGCACTAATATACCATCAAAGTTAAAGATCCATGCCCATATCATTCATAATAAATCTCAAATGAGGAACGAAACTATGGAAATCTATGAAAGCAGCCATAGTACTTTACTAGCTGATCAATCGAATAAAATTCTTCTCTAGCGCAAAAATCAGCAATAAAATTACAATAGCTAGCCTTTGAACTAGAATAATTACATGATAAATAGTCAATATATTAAGAACCAAAATGATAACAGCACTGGCAAAGATAGTTACAATTTCATGGAAACAGGAGCCTCTACTAGTAAGCTGGTCAAGGATGGTGGCAAATTTCACATATACAATACCTAGGTAAGTCTATTAAATAATCGAAATGAGAAGAATTTGACTACTGCTACTAGCATAACCAATGATGAACATCTAATATCTAACATAAACTCAAACAGGTCATTGCTATTAAGAAATCCTCCTAAGAACTATTAACCAATAAATCAATCTCTTAATCATAGCAACACCTATAATTAGTAGAGTGCTGGATTAAACATGCTAAACAATTCAAGTAATAATTGCCTCAGATACTCAAGCAACTACTCTTTTACTAATGATTAAGATAGCTATCCGAACCTAAAAAATGCATTCCCGCTAAGAAATCAGAGTTAAAACTAGCTTAAAAAAGGCTAGAATATTTTCAAATAAAAAGCCTTTTAAAAAAATGCAAATATATTAGTAGATCGAAAGCCTTAAACTGCTGAGGAGGGGTATAGGAACCCACATAGGTAGAATAGAAATCTGAAGGAATTTCGTATAACCTAGAGACTTGCTGATGTTCTAGTCTCTAATGACATTCCATTGTAGTTGAATTAAGAGTAGGACTACAGACAGCAGGAGATAAAAACAGACTTTAAGCAGCTTAATCAGCGTCTCAATCCCAATGAGACTCAAAAAACTATCTACTCACAAAATAGCAATAATAATTTTGACAAAACAGTCTCGACAGGCAGCTTGAATTTTTATCATATTCCAGTTGCAAATTTTGAAAATCAGCAGATACAATAAAGACTTGAGCAATCTTAATAGAAAAACAGCTAGAAGGAGTTATTAGATTAGGATTAATATAACTAGAGATAATATATTGATAAAAATTCTCTTGGAATTATAACTGGATCAGCAGGAATAGCTAATGATTAAAGCATAATAATTGAAAATTCTGAGATGAATGGGTCTGTGGATGAGGGGTAGCTGATGAAAAACAAATTTATGATAAGCAGGTTTAAAAGAAAAGAATTACAATGCTCACTTAAGAAAAGTAGATTATATTGATTGAACATAATCATATAGCTAAGAATGTTTTAATCGATTGGATGATCATTCCATATGACTATTCTAAATCTTTATTTCATTAATCAAATATATCTCACATAAAAATGGATGGGGTTTTGGGGTTTTGGGGTTTTGGGGTTTTGGGG